CTTACCATTTGTTTCGACCCTATTTTAGGATGCCTTATCTATTAGTAGGACTAGCGATATGATTAATTGAATATTAGTTATAATAGATTTTTAAAATAGATTAATATGGTTTTTGAAAAAACATTTTTTCTACATTACTATCTCCATTTCATATTATAAGACTTTGCATTTTCCCATATATGTATAGATTCATTAATATATATATATATATATATGAATGTAGGCAATGCTAGAAAGTCTTATAATATAAAACGGAGCAATTACTTTTTAACACAAGTGTGCACGTGAAATTCAAGAGAGTATGACCAGCAACAACCGGCCTGGTCGGTTGCGTTGTGTAATTGAAACTATGCTTTCTTCTAATGTACCGATGTGTAATTATTTTGCGTGTTTGAAGAAAAAAACAATAGAGTAGAAGTTAAGAAGAAGTGGTAAAGAATACACCCTTAATAAGGCATCCATTGATTTATAGAGAAACAGATTTTTTGTTTCTAGGATTATTTTTGCTATATGACCCTCTAAAGCAAGGAATCGAACACTATTGAATCCTATTATAAGGAATTTCTCAGTCCATGCAAGTTTAGCCTTTTAGAACAAAGGATTAAAAACTATTGAAAGTTAACTATGAATCTATCTCTCTCATTCAATCCTGACGTGTATTAGTCAAATAAAATGATTATTCATGTATTTTTACCATCCTCTGTTTTACACTTAAAATCATGTCATAATCATTATTTTTTCATATTCTTTCATTTTCTTAATCATGCGTTTCAAATGAGCCCCAAGTGTTCATTACTTCTATTCTTCAACTTCAAGAATGGATAATGCTCTCGTATTCGATTTCTTATTTTTGGCTGGATATGAAAATAAATATGAATAACTGGGATTTGAAAACTCATATGGACCTTTTTAATACAAATAAAGATCTCATACTAATGGATATAAATAAAAAAAATAAATATTTCTCGGAACATGATAAATACCCAAACTTATAATAGAAAAGAATACAACAATACAATGATCGTACAAAATGTACACTATACTTACTCCCTCCATAAAACAACAACCTTAGAAATTTGGATAACCTTTTTTTGTCCAAATTTGTCTGATCGGAGCATTAATTTGGGCTAAATAGTCCAGGTTAGCTAGCAGGGCAAAATGGTAAAAGCACTAGCACGGGACCACGGAAGCGCAGTGCAAAGTGTACGCTCGCCCGCTGGCCAAAATGGCGACCACACGAGCGCGGCCCGGGCGGCGTTTCAAAATTTTCGGCACCAAAAGTTTTTCGGATCGGGCGGGGGTGGCGGCGTCCTCCCCCCTACCGACGCCGCGCGCTACTACCTTCGATCCCGCCCGCGGCGCCACCGAAAATTTTCCGCAGCGCGCGCGACCGCCCCCCGCGCGCCCGGCGGCGATTGATTTGGTGACTGGAGGAGGAGTTCTCCTGCTACTGTTTTGGTTGGGCCTCGTCTCAATCCTTCCTTTGCTTGTCTGATGGGTAGGGCTTAAAAAGTGTTTGGGCCTGACGAGGGAGTGATCCTGGCACGTATTTCCTTTCCTTTCCCGTTTGCACATCGAGCCTTATGTCCTGGGTATGGAAAAGTCCAATTTTGACTTTATTAAGGTAGAATCTCAATTCGTATTTCTCAATCGAAATGACTCATGACGAAATGTCCATGTGACAGGAGTCATCAAAATTACTAAAATATACCCCCTCCGTTTCTAAATATTTGACACCGTTAATTTTTTTAAATATATTTGACCGTTCATCTTATTAAAAAAAATTTAAGTAATTATTAATTATTTTCCTATCATTCGATTCATTGTTATATATATAGTTTTACATGTTTCATAACAAGACGAACGGTCAAACATGTGCTAAAAAGTTAACATTATCAAATTTTTATAAACAGAGAGAGTATGTGGGACCCACATCTAACTGACTATTGTCATTTACTCCCCTCTCCACGCCCCCTAACCCCCTCTCGATGACCAGATCAGCGACCACCCCATGGTGATGCACTCGTCACGCTCTAGCGGAAGAGATCCAACCCAGCATGCTCAGCAACTAGGAGCCCAACCTCTAGTACATCTTTGAACTGAAAATATTTAAGGGTTAAGATGAGTGGTGCAAAATATTTAAGGGTTGAGATGAGTGGTGCACTTGTAGCAGGTAGTTGCGAGGTAGGGATGATGCCACAACATTGCGTGGGACTAGTGAGATTGGAAAGGAGGTGGAGACAGCAGATCCTAACGAAACGATCCGGGTGCCACGTTTGGAGGCAATAGTAGGATGACAACAAATGAGAGTTACAATTACTGACTGCGTGAGATGCTTCAATATTGCACAACAGCACCGGAGGTATATTACAAAGAAATCAAGGTGTGTTCGTTTTTCGCTTTTCCCAACCTCTAGTACCTCGTCCCCCCTCCCCCGCGCACGTTTATCACCTTTTTTCTAAAATTTTATAAAAAAATATTTTAAAAATATATATTAATCTATTAAAAAAAATTTAAAAAATAATCAATCACGCGCTAAATGATCGAACCGCAGGATCCTACACAAGCGGCCGAGATGGAATGGCATCCATCACCCAAGAGTCCAAGACCACTTTATAATAACCCCGAAGCCGCCATCCCACAGCTTTCCTAGGGTTAATCCTCCCGCGCCGCCACTTCCTCCCTCCAATCCCGCGCGCCGCCGCGATGGTACGAACTCCGGCGAGCTCCTCCACCCCGTCTCAGGCGGAAGCATACGCCGTGCCATCCCGACCGACTGACCCCGTCCGTGCTGTCGCAGGCCCCGAAGAGAGGCGCGAAGGCGCCGGTGCCGGCGAGGAAGAAGGCGGCGGCGGCGGCGGTGAACCCGCTGTTCGAGAAGCGGCCGAAGCAGTTCGGGATCGGCGGCGCGCTCCCGCCGAGGAAGGACTTGCACCGCTTCGTCAGATGGCCCAAGGCGGTGCGGATCCAGCGCCAGCGCCGCGTCCTCAAGCAGCGCCTCAAGGTTCCACCCGCGCTCAACCAGTTCACCCGCACCCTCGACAAGAACCTCGGTTCGTGTGGTGACGCTACTTTTGCTAGCTGAATCCGTCCAATTGTTCGCATCTGTGGTAGTGGCACCGTTGATTCTGTTGTTTGTACACCTAGATGTTGCTAGCTACTACTAGGCCAGTTCGTTAGGCTGAAGATCATACATGTTTTAACTAGTTTTCTAAGGGTAATTGATTGTTATACTTGTAATTTGTTCATTGGAGAAGCTGAAGGGCCTGGTCAATCTGCCAGCTAGTTTCTATGGTTTCCAATTGATGTGTGATAAGCTGATCATATGGTCATTCACTCATTCCATCAACTAGATTAGGTGTTTTTTATGAATGTGCTGAATTTATCGGCAATGTGCCAATGTTTATGTCTTATACTTGATCTGCCACACCCGTACACTGAAGTTGATAGGGTAGCTGAAGGCCTGTGAGTGATGACTCGCTTGCCTCCATTTTTCAACAAATACTGTGTTGATCATGTTGTCTGACTTGCATGCTTTCGTCGGATAACAATGTTGCCGTGATAGCCGAACTGCCACCTTTTTGAGTAACTTTATACTGGAATCCTTAATGGAACAATGCATATTCCCTTTCAATAACTGTATGATTCATTTTTTTTTTTGAGTTTATGTTTTCTCTACTATTGACGGATAGAATTGGTGATAAAGCTTGTATGTATTCTTCAATGGTTTTTACAACTCATGCACCTGTGTATTTTGACATGACTGTTTGCAAGCTAAGGTTTTATTTGTACTGCAGCAACTAATCTATTCAAGATGCTGTTGAAGTACCGCCCTGAAGATAAGGCTGCCAGAAGGAAAGGCTTTTGAAAAGAGCGCAAGCAGAGGCTGAAGGGAAGACTGTTGAAGCCAAGAAACCAATTGTTGTGAAGTATGGTCTTGACCATGTGACCTATTTGATTGAACAGGTGTGTTCTTATTGTGCTCTGGCTACTACTATTTCATGTCATCTATGTGTTAATTTTACTCTACTTAATGTTCTATATTTCTATATGTGCCAATTAATCAAGTGCTGCTATTCTCTTACCTGCAGAGCAAGGCACAGCTTGTGGTCATTGCTCATGATGTCGACCCCATTGAACTCGTCGTTTGGCTCCCAGCCTTGTGCAGGAAGATGGAAATCCCTTATTGCATTGTGAAGGGAAAGGCTCGTCTTGGATCGGTATGTCTAGTTATTTATTCTGCTCTTAGCAATCCATATTCCCCTTACCTCTGCACAGCTCCCTAATGTACAAACTGCAACTAAAAAAAATTCTATTTGACCAGATTGTGCACAAGAAGACAGCATCTGTCCTTTGTCTGACGACTGTGAAGAATGAAGACAAGTTGGAGTTCAGCAAAATCTTGGAGGCCATTAAGGTAAGTATCTAATGAGCTTGTGCTCATCCAGTCTAACCAGTCCTTGTTGTTTGTTGCATATGACTCTAAACCGACACTTCTAACTGACTCCCAGTCAAACTTCAACGACAAGTTCGATGAGGTCAGGAAGAAGTGGGGTGGTGGTATCATGGGCTCAAAGTCACAAGCCAAGACCAAAGCCAGGGAAAAGCTTCTAGCCAAGGAAGCTGCCCAGAGGATGACCTAAAGAACTAGCCTGAAATTTTGCGTTGTGGTTGTTACTAGGAACACATTGTGATCTTATAACTTCGGTCTGCAATGTAGTATGCTTATAGTTATTATGTGGATGTGGACCTTGAGTGTACTTTAAATTAAAATTAATACCTATTCCTGTTGCAACTATTATGTGGAGTTTACAGCAGAATTAGAAATGAATTCACTATTGGTGTTGGGTGTGGGCTAAACTGTCCCATGTGTTCACTACTAACCCTGTCGGAATATAAGGTTATTTTAGCTATACATCTACTCAAAAAAGAAAAAAATGCTACATTTTTTATTTGGACTTTAAAAAAGGTGGCATTTTTGGCTTGATCGTTGTAGTTGATATATTTTCTTTCCACTTTGGCGAGTATTATCTACTGTCTTGCACTGTTCCGACTGCACGACATTGTAGCACCAGACTCAAATCACGGCTTGTCGATCTGGCTTGGCAGCCTATTGGAATTAGGAATAGAGAAGCCCCGGTGGCTGGATAAGTCTGCAAAAATGCCTCTACGGATGTACAAATGTTGCACAGATAAATAAAAGGAACCGGTGGTTTTTATTCTCCAAAATCAAAAGAATCAACACATTACAAGCGAGAAAGCAGAAACCATGAAACTCACTACAAAAGAACCATGAAGCATCATATAACTAATAGAAACATACAAAGTTGCTTTAAGATATATTCTAATAGAATACACACCTAAATCTAAAAGTCTTCTAAAGAAGACGGCAACTAGAAGTGGCCTATTTCTAAAGAGGGCACAATTATGATAAACTTGAAGAACCCTGCTTAGGCACACTTTGTTTAGGCTAGGGCTGACATCCTTCCTGTTGGAATTCTGTTGACGTTGTTACCATCAGGGAGCCCCATCGCATATTTCACAATTGCTACAGTCCTAAGGAATGGTGCTGCAATCCACATCAATATGAAGAAGGGCTGCATGACTACAATTATGGACAGTGGCACTAACAATTCGTATTCCTTGAGAGCAGTAACCATGCCAAAAATGTAGAGAAGCACCGTCGTAGCCATGTACAAGGTCTGCAAAGAAATAACAGGCAAAGTGAGTGACTGACTATTCACTAGGATTCCAAGATAAGAAAATCTGGATGCAAAGAAAGTTATATACATGATTGAAGTACCAACTAAACAACTACTACTACTCCCTATTTTTCAGGTTATAATACATATTGACTTTGATCAAAGTTAAACTATTATAAGTTTGACTAATTTTATAGAAAAATAATAATATTTTAATGGCAACAACAATGTATATGGTAAAAGTAGTCCATATAGATGGGACCCACATATATAAACTTTAACTATTGTAACCTTCACAATGTATATGGATAGCAAATAGTATCAGGGGGAGAGAAGAAGTAGAGACAAATACTATATTTTATTCTCTATGGGCAACCCATATGCTTATGCGTAGCTTTTGCTATTTCTTTGTTATAGACTAGTTCCACAATGTTGCTAGGTGGTTGAATCACATATTATATTGCTTATGGACCACTTTTGAACTACATTGTGGATGCCCTAACCCAAGACAAATATATTATGACAATTTATTCAATTATAAATTTAATAAAACTATGTGGTGTTGTAAATATTACTACTTTTTTCTAAAGAGTTAGTCAAACTTAGAGTAGTTTGACTTTGACTAAAATCAAAACGTCCTATAACCTAAAACGGAAAGAGTACTAATAAATAATAACAAGGGAAGATTGGTACTATCACATCAAAGATTTTAGACAAATGATGGCACCCAAACTTCATGGTGCACTATAATAATAGCACCGAAAGATGATGAAATTTACTAGCATTCTATCACTCCATCTGCTGGCCTAAACACTGGAGTGAGTATATGCAGAAATAAGAACAACATGGTGTATTTGACAATGACTCCAACGATTAAACTGCCCAACAAAATAAGGTAGCACTGCCACACAGTGAGATAATAACAATATGAATCAGCAAATGACAACGGAAAATGCTCCAGATTAAGTCAGACCCCAACAACAAGGAGCATCTCCATTGTCATTTGCCATAGATCCTACGATGAAACAAAGCCAGAACCCAAAAAATAAAGGGAATGTAATCTTGCAACAGCATATACATATTGCAAGGAGGAGGAAAGAAAACACTTACGTAAACAGCTCGGATGAGGGCGGCCAGTAGAGGGTTGTCGACGACCATGCCATCCAGCGGAGCGTAGCGTAGCCCGCCGAATACGCGGACCCCCGCCGTCGGCGGCTTGCCGGACTTCATCTCCGGGCCGCCGTATTATTCCTTGTTCCTTTCCAACACTCTGCTTAATTCCTCTGCTCCTCTCGCTGTGTGGCGGCGGGTGTGGTGTGTGGGTGTGGGATCCGATCGAGAAGAGAATCGGACACGGACGCCGGATCCGAAACGGAGTTGTTCTTCATCTCCTCCCCCCAAGCTCGGAAAACCGTCGATGGACAGCAAGGAATCCACATCGGCATGGAGGATCTCACACGGGAGGAAAGGGGAGAGAGAACGAAGGCAGCACTGAGCAGCGGCGTTGCCTTGCCCTCTCGCGCGACGGAGGGTGAGCGCCGGCGCGGGAGCGAGAGGAAGGCGGCGCGAGCAGTATGCCGCACGCTCTGCGCCGTGGGCCGTGGGGTTGGGAAAGGAGGAATATTCCCATCCCGGTCCAGCCTAACATCACATTAGAAAAGGAATTCCAATTTGGGATAAGTCCACTTTACCTCCCCACTAGTCTTTCCCTTGGTGTAAAACATACACCCCAAGTTCAAAACATGTATTTTAGACCGGGATAATTAACTATTTGCCACTCTTACGAGTGGTGATAAAGGATTTGCTACTGGACCCATATGTCATAGTCAGGCAAATCCTTAATTGCCACTTCTTGAAAGTGGCGAAAAGTTGTATGTAGCGCTTATGTGATAGTCTAGTTAGTATAGGAAATACAAGAAAAATACTCCCTCCATTTTCTAATAGATGACACCGTTGACTTTTTCTCACATGTTTGACCATTCGTCTTATTCAAAAAATTTACATAATTATAACTTATTTTGTTATGAGTTGTTTTATCACTCATAGTATTTTAAGTGTGATTTATATATTAGACATTTGCATAAATTTTTTGAATAAGACGAATGGTCAAACATGCGAGAAAAAGTCAAAGTTGTCATCTATTAAAAAACGAAAGAAGTATGTGGGTGGGTCTCGCATGTCAATCTCTCCTCCCTTCTATGACCTCATTTCCCTTTCTCGCTCAATCCACCGAAAGTACAAGCTCGCAAAGGCGAGGTCGCCGATCAACACTTTCCTCGTCGCTCTAGAGAGAAGGGAGCGGAGTCATGCGACCTTGTCCATGATCTCCTCAATGAGCTATTCCCAACTTTCGCACGGCCACACATCCCGTCGCCAAGTTGTATGTGGAAGGGCAGTGCTTCCGCGAGTCAAGGTAGGTGGCAAAGGAGGAGTAGCAGCTAGCTTCAGCGGCACACGTTGATGCATGTTGGAATGGAACGGAAGGTGAAGTTATCGACCACGCGGGAGAGGTCGAGCGCCAGAGCGATGTGTGTAGCTCGAGCTCCTCCCCTTGACCCATCCTACCATTACTAAAGCGGTAGAACGCGTCCTATCACTGCAGTTACTGTCATTCTCTCGCTGGAGCACCGACACCTGAACCCGCCCTCCTCTGTTGCTCTATATGAGGAATGTGAGGAAGGAGATAAGAGATAGAGAGACGAGAGAGATGGGAGGGGTGACTCCTGACACGTGGGATCCACTTTTTTTTAATAAAAAAATCACACGTGGTACCAAATCTAGGCTAGAAAACACCTAGGGAGATTATGTGTAGGTATTTATAGTTGGGGTGTAAAATATCTGGTTTTGAAGTTGGAGGGTGTGTTTTAGACAAAACAAATAGTTGAGGGGTGTCTAATGGTCTTATGTCTTCCAATGTTGGTCCCGAACGGGATGATACACGTGTATTTTGGCTCATTCCTGTCCAATAATGGGCTAAATGCATAAGACCCAACAAACCTAGAAACCATCGTAGAATTCAAAATGGATGTATGAGATTTTGGTTCATACGTCTATTTTTATTATTTTCTTGCTACAAGTAGTCAAGTGCTATCATGGATTTTGGATCTGGAAGCTCAGGCTAGTGCATGTGCATCTAGCAATACTAGTGCTAGCGCGGCTGCTCATGCAGCTGCTGATTTATCAAGAGAAAGCAAGTGCAAGTAACATCTTGATATTGGTGGTGGTCGATCGGTCCTACTTACCTAGTCGGCACTTTACTTGATGTTGTAAGCACGATGCATCAATTTATTTGTCTTTCATGCATGTGTTGATTTTTGTCTGTATTCGCCAACTTGAATTATCTAGAAAAGATAATTTAGAGAAGATTGATATGGAATTGCCTGAACACTCCTATTTTATTGCTATTTCCTTTATATATATAAATATATACATGTATCCTTGTATCCTAGTATTTTGAAAAATGACGTATCCCCGTATCGTCGTATCGCGTATCCGTATCCCCGTATCAAGCTAACATAGTTTTTTTTTGGAGGCCTAACGGTGGAAGTTTCTGGAATTTGATGACGGATGCATTGTGATCCAGGGACGCCATCTCCCTTGGCCCATGGAATATTTTCCTTTTTTTTCCTCTGTGGTAGGGGCGATGGATAACCGATGACAACATTTGGCAGATTGAGATTAATTTAATTAGCCCTGGTTAGTTCCCAAAAAATTTTCGTAAAAACATTACATCGAATCTTTTGACACATATATGAAGCATTAAATATAGATAAAAAAACTAATTACACAGTTTGCATGTAAATTGCGAGATGAATCTTTTGAGTCTAATTAGTCCATGATTAGCCATAAGTGCTACAGTAACCCATATGTACTAATAACGGCTTAATTAGGCTCGAAAAATTCGTCTCGCGGTTTCCAGACGAGTTATGAAATTAGTTTTTTCATTCGTGCCCGAAAACACCTTCCGACATCCGATCAAACATCTAATGTGACACCGAAATTTTTTTATTTCACCAACTAAACAGCCCCTATATCGTTACTGGGTACTTTTACCTTTTCGCTTAGTGAGGTGATTAGCATGTGTACGTATATGGTAGGACGATATTTTCTGTCCAGACTTCTTTTATCATCTTGTTTGAGATATTTATGAGCTTTGCCAACAGCCCCTATGAAGGTCATGTAATATTTTGTGGTCCCGTAGCAATTCCTATGGTTGGTCTTTAGTCTCTGTCTATCTGACAGTAAGTACTATGGCTAAACATAATTAATTATAAATTTACAATTTATAGGTTCAATATTTATTATGTCTCGAGTATTTTTCAAACATCTCATACTTTTAACATATCAGTATTAATCTATAACACCAATCCAATTACATGAGATGTTTGTGTGGATACATGAGACAGAATTATCTGCGCATTTACACGCCATATCTCTATTCGTAACTCCATAGATAAGTTTATACAAAAGCAGGCAATAAAGGATCAAATACCAACAGTTCCCCCATCTGTTATGAACAACCACCACCACCCACCCTTTTCTATCCACCGTCAATAGATCAAAAATCGTACTTCCATATTAATAATAGACTGCTCCATAAAAACAATCATATATGAGTAAATAAAAGCGGATAATAATAAATATTGGATCATCAGATATCAATTTCACCCTGCAGCACTTTCCCCATCCATTGATGAACAACAACAACCACCACCCTTTTCCATCCATCATCAACAATGAAAATCGCTATGCATTCAACCCATCTGTTCTGACTCATGTATGGCCCTGTTTGTTTCTGGGAGAGGATAAAATTTTGGATTATCGTGGCACGCTTTTCAAACTGCTAAAAAATGTATTTCGTGTGAAAACTTTCTATATGAAAGTTGTTATAAAATACCAGATTAATCCATTTTGAAGTTTGTAATAATTAAAACTTAATTAATCATATGTTATTACCACATCGTTTTGTGTGAAACACTTAACCTTTATCTTCATCTTCATCTTCAGGAGATACAAACACCACCTATGATTGTTGATCGGCGGTTATAAATGACTATAGTGCATATGATTTATGGGTATATCTTTAGTAGTATAACTGGGTCGGTGGTACGTATAGCAGCACACCGTGACAATAATAGAGAGAGAAAAATATAAATAAATAAAAAATAAAAAAAAGTGAAAAGGGGAGGAGGAGGAAGGTCACTAAAATACAATCCGGTGATTTTATCCCCTCGCACCCCCCCTCCCCTCTCGGGATCCCTCAATCTCATCATCCTTCTCCTCCCCTTCTCCGCTCCCAACGCATCGCATCGCACCCAAACCCATCGCCTCTCGAATCGAAAGAGACCAAGCGCACGGAAAAGCCTCCCTCCCTAAACAACACGACCCATCTCCTCCTCCTCACTCTCCGGCGACCCCCGCGCTCGAAACCCTAGCCCTCCTCCTCCTCCTCCTCCTCCGCCGCCGCCGCCGCAGCCGCAGCCGCCTCCCCCCCTCCCCCCGCGCGCCTGCTCCGCTTCCCGCCGCCGCCGCCGCCGCCGCCGCCGAAACCCTAGCGAGCGAGCGAGCTTCGCGCACACTCCCCCTCCCCGCTCGGATCCCGCGGCCGCGAGAGGAGGGCGATATGTCGGAGAGGAAGATGGATCGATTCGCGGCGCTCGGCAAAGGTGAGCACGCCCGATCCAACCGTGTGCAGCGGGGGTGGGGAGATCTCCGATCTGCGGCGCTCGCGGGATTGGGGGTGGGGGTGGGGTGGGGGTGTTCAGATCTGTGTTCGATTTGATGGTGATGAATGATGATGATGCCTGGTTTGTTTGCGCAGATGTGCTCTCGCTGGGGATCGACGACGACATGGCCGCCGCCGCCGCAATAGGTTTCGTCGACGAATCCAAAGGTCGGGGCCCTTCTACACACACCCCCATCGCATCGTTCGTTATTTTTTTTCTTCCTTAGTCGTCGAGGGAATTGTAGCATATAGCTTCATGTATGATTTGGTTTTGGATTGGGTATACTGTTCATGCGTGTGTGTGTGCACGTGTGCTCGTGCGTGCGCGTCCTGTGCCTGCTTGTGTGGTGTGTGAGCGGACGCTTGCTTGCTTGCTGGTGGGAGTGAGAGTGGGGTTTGTGCGTGAGCAGGGCATCCTTTTGTGTGAGATAGCACGCTTTTGCTAAGTCGTTGACCCTGGAAAATCTTTTGGCTATGCAGATCAGCAGCACCTGGATAACAGCATTCCTCTGTCTCCTCAGTGGCTTTATGCTAAACCAACTGATGCAAAGGTTTGTGATGCTCTCCTGACCATGTTTCAATTCAGACTCTGTATATGGCTTTTCTACTTTGGTCACAACTCATAAGTTTATCTGGGACTGTATATTGATTTATTGTTTATCGCTTGCTGCTAGAAACGGTCATTAATGATGCACGATGCTTGTTTGCAGATTTTGGGTCATGGTTCCTTGCTTGACCCTTCTGAAAAAGAAGTAAGGATGCCGGAAGGAGCTGCCGACAAGAAAGAACGCAGGCGGAATGTATTTGATGCTGACAGTAGCCTTCGTTGGCTAGAAGAGGAGAGGGAAACAAGCCTACCTGGGAGGAGGGAGCGCAAGAAGGAAGTG